CCCAGACTGGCTGAAGATATACCTTGATGTGGCTTGGGTGGGGCCATGAGTTGGGGGAGATGAGGTTTCAGGGAATCCTCTGGTCAGAGTGACCTCTGTTATCCAGTTTGATGACATCTCAGCTATGGCAGCATTGTGTCCAGTGTACTGGAATGGGGGATGGCTCAACAGAGGAACAATGGTTACTGCCAGCGCTTCTGTACAGAGTGAGTCTCGCCTTGGCCCTCACTCCAACAACTCAGTGTTCCTCTGAAAGTCCCTGGTGCCCCCTGCACAGCCGAACCGGCGCTGGTGCTCAGAGCAAGCAGGTACATCACCACAAAAGTCCGCTTGCAGATACGGCTCCTTTAAGATGCATCTGCAATTCTGCTGCCACTGCCATAGCTTCAATACCACTCAGCCCCTTGGGACCGGCAGTATCACGTCCTCGCCCCATCCTACCTTCTGTCGTTGCAGGGTGACTTCTTAGTTCTCTCTTTACTTGCATGGCTTGTTCATCTAGATCCCAGGCAATTTTCCTTGCTGTCTGCTCCTTGTTTCTGTCGCAACTTTGATTCGGTTGCCAGAGGGATGAACAGAGCCTCTATCGACTACGCCATTTTTCCCTCCTTTTGTGATTTGTTTTTGAAATAACTTTTGAATAGTCAAGCCTAATAAACAGCATTTATTGAGTATTTACTGTGTACCAGGTTCTGTGCTAAGAACTTTACATGTATTATCTCAAGTAATATTTGAAACAAAACCATGGGATAGGTAAAATTATTCCCATTATTTTCATTTTGCAGATGAAGAAATCAACACTTTGAATGGTTAAAATTTGTTCACAATAACCCAAATATTTAAGTGGCAGAGACCCCCCCATATTTAATTATAAAATATATATTGACTAAATTCATTCATTAAAAAATTCTGAAATATTCTGTAATATTAAACTACAACTTATAGTTCAAGATAGCAGACTGAGTCCAAACACTGACATATTCTCCCACTGAATTCTCCCACTGAAAGGACAGAATATAAATATTTGAAAAAGCCACAGCAGTCATCCAACAGAAAAGGATCATAAGCAAATCTGAGGAATTCTAGAAAGTTTAAACAAATGGTATTACATTGAGGAAAAATTCAGAATGCAAAACTTATAATCAGGAAAGAAAGCAGCATATCAGTATTCCCCATTAATGGAGTCCCAGAAAAGCTCTAATTCAGAGGCAGTGGCAAAGGCTGAAGTGAAGGCATGAATGGATGGTAGAAGCCTGACAGATTAACTTAAAACTGTAGGAGCTAAATCAGTACCTAAAGTCTCTGCACAGTAAAATGCGAAACATTTTAGTTCCTAAGATGCCACCAACTATGATACCCCTCTTAAGGAAAGTAGTGTATCTGTTGATAGGAGGAACATCAGAGTCCCAAAGGGGATGAGAGAATGAGAAGAAATATGAGTCCAAAAAGCTGAACAAGGTGCCACACAACTTTCATAGCCACAAGGCTTCACTAATATATTCAAACTACTATATATCTTGCCTTTTTCAATATTATATATGTTGAAAAGACATCTCTTGAACCCTACAGCGCATCTCCCCATCCAATTCCACAGATGGACTCACCCTACAGAGTGCCCTGTTATTCATAGCAGAGGGCTGCTTGCAGTATATGAAATAAACTTCACGAATGTTTAGGGAACTCAAAACAGCTACCAATACTGATGAAAGGAGAAATTCATATAAACATACATACACATATATACATTATGTAAAACCACTTGCAATACTAAGTGTTCAAATGTTATTTTTGTTGTTACAACCATTAAGAAAAGCAAACAGCCTGAGAGGCACCAAGGAGTATGCAAAAAGAAAATGGCCTCCCAAGAAAACATTTATGGAAAAATCAAAAGAATCTATAGAAAGATTATTGGAATTGATAAAGTTATTGGATATAAATATTGTTATACAACACATCGATTCTATTTCTGTAAACAGGCCAAGAAAAATTACGAAATACAGCTTAAAAAAGTGATACCATTCACAATAGCAGCAAAAGGTATATCTTGGAACAATGCTAATAAATCTCTACTAAGATCTTTATAGAAAAGCTGTAAACCAGTGGACCAATAGAAAAAAATAATGAGTACAGAAACACACATATGCATATTTAGACACTTAACATATGAACAGTGGAGAAAGGATAGGCATTCAATAAATAAAATTGGGACGACAAAAAAAAAATCTTTGGGTCCTTGATGCCAAACCCAAAACATCAACTCTAAGAACATTAATGACCTAACATGAAAAGCAAAGTTAAAATGCTTAGAAAATATATAGGAAGATATATTCATGATCTCAGGGTAGGGAAGGATTTCCTAAAGACAAAGACTGGACTAGCAATATAAAGAAAATAACTGTGAAGTTGTACTACCATCAAAATTAAGAATTTCTGGGGGTTAGGGTTAAAAAAATAAAGAAAGAATTTCTGTTCATCAAAAGATATTATTACTAGAGTGAAAAGACAACTCACAGAATGGAAAAGGATATATTTGTTCTCTCTCTCTACACACACATACACACACACACACGCACACCAAAGAAAATGTATCCAGAACATATAAAATGCTCCTACAAATCAAATCAATCAGACTACCCAACAGTAAAGTGGAAAAAGGCTTGATTGAACAGGTCTTTTACAGAAGAGGAAACCCAAACAGCCAAAAAAAAAAAAACACGCCATACTAATGTATTCAACTTCAATCAACAGGGAAATACAAGTTTAAAACCACAATGAGATATTACTATATAGTCATCAGATTGCATAAATTAAAGTCTAACAAAAGTACATGTGGTTAAGAATGTAGAGCAACATGTTCTATCATAAACTACTGGTGGGAGTATAAACTGGTACCATCACTTTAGAAAACATCTAGGCATATCTACTACAC